TAAAAAAAAAAAAAATCTTATAATCCATAATCTTATTTTAAACATTTTAAAATCTCTTAATACATTAGCAGAACATTCTCCAAAATATAAATTTCAAAACTTTCGAAAAGTTATCCATTAAATTTTAAGTTATCCACCTTTAAACTTAAATACTTTAAAACTATAATAAAATTCAAAAAGTTATCCAACTTTAATTAAATCTTTTAACATCATGAGACAATCTCCAAAATATAACCAGTCTTTCTTTCTTTCTATATTTTTTCCAGTCCTTCTTCAATAATACTTTCTTCTTCGGCATTGCTCCTCCCCCTGCTTTTATTTTCAAAAAATTTTGGGTTTGAAATTGTAATTGGTGTGTCTTTGGAATTCGTTCTCTTCTTGGGGTTGTTTCCTTTAATTTGAAGCCCCCATTTCAACTCTTCCTGCATTTGTAGTCCATCAGTTCATCCCTTAAATATTGATTCTGTCTGTAGGGCCAAAACTTGTCAAAATATTTATCAACCTGCAGTAAAGAGTCTTCTTGCTGTTTCTCAATTAATTGAATGGAAGCCTCTTCCAAAACCTCTGTTTTCGGTATAATAACCTCCATTTTAGCCCCAACAGTGTCTCTTTTATCCTCCAAAGTCACATTATCCTGATTAATTTCTTCCTCTTTTCCAGCCAGCAAGTCATTATTATTCCTCAATTTAAAATCTTGAATAGTTCTTTTAATTATCTGTCTTATCTCAACAGTAAAAGATTTTAAAAATTCTTTTAAGTCCTTCGCAGTCTCCACTTGTAAATTTGCTGACTCATATAATCCATCTTTAATTTCAGCCATTTTCCAATTGTCTCTTTATGTTTGTATTAATTCAGCTATCAGGTCATTAAATCCAATTATTTTCCACACAATAAAATGTAAGTTAGTTAAAAAACAATACACAGTCTTTTCCATTCCACTTCCACTTTAAATCTCTTTTTCTTTAATAACCGATAGCTTTAACAATGTTACTGTTAGTTAACAAGGACTTTCACTTATAAGTTTCATTTTCACACCCTAAGGCGCCATCTTTGCCTTTTTAAACAGAGTTAACATACAATACTTGCATTTTTAGTCTCCTGAATTAACTCTGCCAGCATCCAAAGTCCAAAATCCAAATTCTTTATAATCTTTTTAGTTGCTTTGCTGGTGTGGTCGCAACGCTTCGGTCTGCTTATTTTTAAGCAGACTCGTCCCGGCTCCGGAGCTCTAAAGGGCTTTCAGGGAGCTCTCACCCGGCAAACCCCAGGCTTAAAAAAAAAAGCCTGGGGGTCTAAGGGAGCTCTACCCAGACCCTTCTGCTCTTCTCTCCCCCTTTTTCCCTGGGGGAGAGTTTTTAAGCCGCTAGACAGCTGATTTTTGCTGTTCTAGCGGCTATACGGAGTCACGGGGCTGGAGCTCCTAAAAGGAGCTCCGTTGGCGTTTTGCGGAGCCACCGGAAGTCTCAATACTGCATAAATTTTGATCACCATATCATAAAAAAGGCTCTGAAAAGAATGCAGAAAAGAGCAACAAAGATTATTAGGAGGCTGAGGGCTAAAACATATCATGAACTGTTACAGAAATTGGGTATGTCTAGTCTTGTGAAAAGAAGGACTAGGGGTGACATGATAGCAGTGTTCCTATAGGAGTCAACCTATTTTCCAAAGCACCAGAAGATAAGACAAGAAGCAATGCTGGAAACTAATCACGGAGAGAAGCAACCTAGAACTAAGGAGAAAATTCCTAACAGTGAGGACAATTAACCAGTGGAACGGCTCGCCTTCAGAAGTTGTGGGTGCTTCATCACTGGAAGCTTTAAAGAAGAGATTGGACAGGCATTTGCCTGGAATGCTATAGGGTCTCCTGCTTGAGCAGGGGGTTGGACTAAATACCTCCAAGGTCCCTTCCAACTTTGTTATTCTGTTATTTGTGTAAATACAGATATACATGTATTCTGCCTTCAGATTCTAAGCAGGGCTGCCAGCTCCTATGTGTGCTTTCAGTTTCATCTCCAACTGTCTCAAAATTTATGCTGCTTGCTTTATTCCCTCTATTTACAAGTTCCTCTAGATATCAACTCTCCCCAAATCCATAAAGATATCATTAAAATTCAGTTAAATGTTTATACAATACATTTTGGAAGGGAAATGTAGAAAAGCACTGTTGCTATGATTGAAAGAAATAGGAATCAGAAATGGCTGGAAATCTATTCACACATAAATATGGCTGCATCCACACACACACATGTGTACACGGAAAGAGAAATAAAACTGCTGGATCTAAAATATTGTATATCTAATGCTTCCAGACCACCAATTTCTTACACAGAGAGTAGGGGAAATATTCCTTAAAGGATAAATAGGGATCTAAAATATACTGTTGCAGAATATAGTAGCATTATAGGAGTTTTATAGTAGTTTTACTTTTTTAAGTTTTATTTTACAATAGTTCTTCCCAACCTAGCACCCTCACAATATATCAGATATTATTTGCCATCTTCCAAAATTATCACAATTCGTGCTGGCTGGAGAAAAAAGCTATAATCCAGCACACTTAGAGGGTGCCAGTTTGAGAAAAAGACTTTCAGAGAATATTGAGGAAAATGGCGTGATTGAGTTGAAAATCCTATGCATATTCTTCTGATCTTTGGAAATTAAATATGCCTATTCTTCTTTTTTGTTAATTCATGTATTTATTACATTTATATCTTTCCTCTACCAGCTGATGGAAGGCCTTTCCTAATTCTATGTCAGCAATAACAACCTCTGCAAGATAAATTATGCTGAGCAGCAATGATTAATCCAAAGATAATCCATCACCTCCATGAGCCAAGTCCTTAACCATTACACTATACCACAATCATTCTACTACACACAAAGAGCACTGAAGCTAATTACTGGTCATTGCAAAAGGGCAACCATTACAATAACTGCCTTATTACAGCAGCCATTAGTAGAGTATTGGAATCTTTTCCATTTTTTCCCCCTCTAAAAGGAAGCAAGGTGGTCACAGATGTTATTGTTGGAGAGTGGGGTCCAACTTGTGCAGAGATCATTGAATCAGATTTTGACACATATAACAGGAAGATATTTTGTTTACAGGAAAGAAATGAGGTAGGTGGAAAACTCAGCACTTAGTTACTTACCGTTTAGCAGGAAAAAAATTCAAGAGGAAAAAGAAGACTTGGGAAGAAAATGATCTTGTCCCTGAATCTCATAAAGAAAGAGTTGGCAGGGTAAAAGAAGACTTAGAGAGGGAATTCTTAATGCTCACTGCCCCTTGTGATTGGCACATTATGAGATAGTGCCTCTCAGTCACATCCTCCGTGGTTATTCCCTTCTCATGATTGTTGTTTGAGTGGGTAGAATGGTAAAACTTCAGTATCATGCTCATTTGCACTATAAACACCAATTCCTCTGTTTTAATTTCTAACCACTGATTGAAAATTAGGTATCAACCTATTGCCCCCAATAATCCGGCTCTCATTTTACCCATCTTGGAAGGATGGAAGGCTGAGTAAACCTTGAGCCAGCAGGATCAAACTCCTGGCTGTGGGCAGAGTCAGGCTGCAATACTGCAGTCCAACCACTGCATAACTATGGCACTAAATAGAAGAACATGCTGATATTTCCTGCAAAGTTGTAAATACATGACAACTATTTAAGAGCTCAGACGGTGATGATTTCCAAGTGCTAATTTTCCAGAAATCCCAGAGGGCTTCATCATGTAGCTGGATAAGAATGAGCAAGGGTGAGAGACTTTATCTCCCTCACCCCTCTCAAAAAGTATTACTCTCTAAAAAGTTTGAAGAAGTGTGTTGCATAATAACTTCAAATCCCACAAAGCCAGAATGTTCATTAACTGATCCTTGACTAGTTTCTCTCCATTAACCTAAGTGATTGTATTGTGAAGATATGTATTTTATGTTTTCCTCTTCAAAGAATGGGAATTAAACATAGGCCTAGGTTTGATTTTGGTTCTTTTGAGAAGGACACTTCTCTTAAAGCCTCTTTTACAAGATACATTGAACAACAAAGGCAGAAAAGAAAGTGCTAAAAGTGAAAATGGTTATTGCATTTTAAATTGAAAGGGAATTCTACATCTATTTTTATAAACTTGAATAGAGGAGATCCATGGTAAAGTTCTGATAGCTCAGTGCCTTTTGGCTGAAAAATATGATGGATTTTTGGTTTTCTTTCCTTATATCAAGAGCCCTTCTCTTTCTTTCAACACCTTTCAGCCATTCCACTGCACTTCTTCAATTCAAATCTTTATCACTGCCCTAAACCAGCATAGAGAAAGTGAGATACAGTCAATAAAAAGCACAAAGGATACATCAAGAGCTTTAAAAATATAAAAAGCTAGAAGATATAAATGATGTACAGTATAAATTAAAAATTAAAGGTAGATATAAAAAGCAAGAATATGAAGTTAACTTAAAATTATGCTCCAAGGATATTCAAGGGCCTTTCTTGATACCTCTTAGTAATGGGATATTCAATCGTGCTCAAGAAGAAACTCCACTTTTTCTCCACAATCAAATCAATCATTTTTTTTCTCCCGTCAGTCACTCCAAAACCATTTTAGTTCAGCTAAGGCACTTGATCAGAAAATCTAGGACTGGGTTGCAGTGGTTTCTGAAACAAAATAGTTCAAAACTGAAATCTTATCAGAATTTTATAGATACGAACAGAATATATAGATCCTGGCACCAAATGCACATCTTCAGGCCAAAAACCAGGGCCAGGAAGTAAAATGTTGAACTATATTTATCTATTTGTTTATTTATATCCTTCCTTTTTATTATGTTTACAAATACAAGCAGCGAATATACAGCGAGTATCCAACACACTTTCTTCCTCTTATTTTCCCAACAACAACAACTCTATGAGGTAGGTTGGGCTGAAAGAGAGTGACTGGCTCAAAGTCACCCAGTTGGCTTTCATGGCTAAGGTGGGAATTGAACTCACAGTCTCCCACACTCTAGCCTGGTGCCTAAACCACAGATCAAAATGGCTGTATTATATGCTATGCGTCATTACTCCTTCCTGCCAAACATTTTTAAAGAGCAGGTAGCAGCTGTGACCAAGAAATCCTTTACATCAATTGTACATCAATTGTGCACATTTATTGTCTAAACGGGTGACTAGTTATAGTCACTCACATCTTAGTCACCTCTGGTTGGACTACTACAATGTGCTCTCTCTGGAGCTGCCCTTGAAGACAGATGCACTGTTCCAAAATGCAGCAGTATGAGTAGTCAGTGTACCTATGTAACACCTCTACTTTGTGAGCTGCATTGGCTCCCAGTACATTCTGTTTTGAGGCAAGCAACTTATGCAGAGAAGGAGTGAAATGAACAGCAAGTGAATAATCCAACAAATGTTTTTGTCTGGTGTTTTCCTTATGATAGAAAGATAGACAGTTAAAATGGCTGAAAGGAAAAACACTGAAACTGGAGAAAGATTACAAAATCAAATTCTTTTAGGAAATATCTTTTAGGGTATGTATAACTTGAAAATGGCATAGTTAAAAATCAAATAATGTAATAGCTGAAGCTCTATTATTGATAATGGAGCAAATGCATTCTTTGTTTTGTTTCAGAGAATTACATTACAAGACACTTTTTAGCATGAAAACAAAGCCTTCCTAATGACCTGAGCTATTTGGAAATGGAAGAGAATGTGTTGAAAATGATGGATTCTCCTTTATTTCAGGTTTTGATGGATGGCCATCTATCAGGGATGCTACTGCGCTTATGTTGCAATGCCAGTAGTGGCCAACGTCACTCTTCCAAATTCATAATTCAGAATGAAACAGGATAATTCTTGATCTTGCAGATCAGGACAAAGAAGCCACATTCTCCATTAGAGGACATGGCTTCCAAACAAGCTTGATTTTCAATGTTTGTTTGAAAAAAATGTACCAAGCTTCTGAAGCTAATATGCACAACATTCTAGAATCCTCCTCTTCCACCGTTTCATCACAAATGTCAAACAGTTACATCATCATGCTGTGTTCCAAAGTTACTTTCCACAATTGTTTGAATCAATCCTGTGCCGGGAAAATCCAGGATTATCACACCCCAACAGAGAGCTGGTCCAGCCTGAGACTTGAGATATTGATAACAGCGTGGGTTGATGTCTCTGGCTAATTTCTCAGGATTTGTGAAGAGGCCATTACCGGAACAAAAGGTAAGGTGCAGGACAGTTGGGTCACCACTGGTTGCCAACTCAAGATGCTCCTTCACTCGCTCCCATTTGCACTCAGGGCAGAAAACATGCCACACATCACTAACACTCAGTTCTTCATATGGAACACCTAGCACCTCTTTCTCAATTTCCTCCAAAATAATGATCTTCCCCCGAGCTTGCCTTAAAGTGGGAATGGCTTCCTTTGTCCAAATTTTATTCTGGCCTTCTTCAGCTAAATAACGTTGGAAGCGAGAAGCGTAATCTACATTGGGAATAAATGGGAGTTCTTCTTTAACCCGCATAAGTACCGTTTCCCCTGGGTGTTGGTTGAGGAAGCTTAAGGTTCCTTCCAGGACATCAGAAAAGTCTGCCTCCTGGAAAGTGTTGACATGGTAAATAAGGAAACGGCCATTTTCCAGTTTACAACGAATATCCAAGAAACGCACGCCAGCTGCTAGCTGAGCCTCAAGTGGCCAAGTCTGACAACGGATATTTAGGCCTCCAAGCACGCTCATGGAGTCATGAGTGCCAGGGATGGAGATTTTGGAAAGAGAAAGGTGGTCAGGTAAGCCAGACATCCAGTCAGGGAGAGAAGAGGCAGGCCAGAAAGTATTGTCAAATGCCTCTGTTTGCTGCCTCTTTCCACATTCCATAGTGTCCATCTGGAAAGGAAAAAAAAATAATCATGAGAGCAGAGAGCATCCTGCTATAATGTCAGCTAAGTTAGGCTAAGAAAGATTTCCAACTGAATGCACTTCTACTGGCAATTGGTCAGCATCTCTCAGCATACCTGAGGACAGTTGGCTGTTTAATCACAGAATTCCCATTTGTCTCACTGTGCATCTTCAAATATAGATACTTGAATAATATACCAGCTCATGGGCTCGGAAAGCTACAGTATTCCTAACCCGGTGTCCTCCAGATTCAAGATTCTAACATTGGAATCAACATTAATTTATGTTATTGATTTCTATAGCTGCCCATCTCAACAAGTGACTCTGGGAGGCGTACAACATAAAGCATAAATACAATTAAAAGAGTATAAAATAAATGTATGGGATATAACATGGGATGGGATGTATGAGGTGAGGTGTATAATGTAGGATATAATATATGTTATGGAACCTACTCTCCCAAACATTAAGTTGGAGAAGATTGGTATATGCTATTTAATAAATATCTCTAACAACAGCATGTATGACTTGAAAACAAACTTTTTAAAAAAAAAAAAACAGTTGGCTAAGGTAATTATTCCTATTCTTTTTTATTCTCCATTTGGAACTGAGAACCAATCATGCCTCTTTTTATGAAAAACTGTGAATTAGTTTGCTATGCAAGAATCACACTTCTGGAGAATATCTGTTGTTCAATACTGAAGGTATTTGAAGGTGTGTAGGCAGGCATGAGGTACATAGATAGTTGATATTAACAGGGCTGGTATAATGTTCCTCCTGTCAATTAATTCATACGGCTATAATTATCACCTGTCACATAACACAATAAGGGCAGGGCAGGGGAAATGAAGTTTCAAGTTTTGGTTACAAAAGATCTAAATAAAATATTTTGAACACTTAAATATCAATGTTGAGAACACTAGAAACATAATGCTTTAGGAGGATTTGCTAATTTTGAATTCTAGAAAAATAGTTTTTAACTTGCATAGAACCACCAAAATGTGATTGACAACAATTTCACTGATCTTGCCTGGGCTCAAAATCCAAGATGCATCAGGCTCAGATTAAAGACCACCAGGAAATTGAAGGGCTACATGTCAAATGGGGAAGTTTTTAAAAAAAATCCCAAAGGAAAGCAAAGGATTAAAATTCCTGTAATATTGCCAAACACATTGCATACTTGTATGCATTTATCCATCAGGAGTGGAAATTGACTTGAGGCTATCTTACATATATATACATGTACATATCCACATATATCCTAAGACTTATGCATGCATCATCCAAACAAGCACCACCTAATTATGCAAAATTAAAATTCAGGGCCATGGCTTTCCATAGCGTAGCACAGGTGTTTTTTTTAAAAATTTGGGTTTATTGACCTTTTTCACGTTTGCTCTATCTTATCTAATATCACTGCAATCTATGTTCAGCCAAGAGGTTTTTAATGTTTTGAATTACTGGTAAATCCCAACTTCTATCTGAAGCCTACTAACCTACCTGGAAATCGTGATCCTCTCTTATCTGTCTGTCTTCCAGCTTCCAAAATTCAGAGATGGATTTACTTGCTAGGATGTTATAAAATAATCAACAAAACCATCATTAAGTGGGTGTCAACTAGGGCTGGTATAACTGGTTCCTTTTTGACAGTTTATGCCAAAACCTGTCAGAGCTTTGTAATTACTGAATTGAAATATCAGATCAACGCCCTTTTATTTTAATTTTAATGATTAACTTAATCATTTCCAAGTGGGCTGGATTGTAAACAACAGGGAGGTACTTCGATTAGAATACAATTCATTGTTTGAGAGAGATGGCATCTATTTGTAGTCCTCGACCTACCGCCACAATTGAGCCCAACATTTCTGTTGCTAAGTGAGACAGTTGTTAAGTGAATTTTGCCCCATTTTATGACCTTTCTTGCCATAGTTGTTAAGTGAATCACTGCAGTTGTTATGTTAGTAACACGGTTGGTAAGTGAATCTGGCTTCCCTATTGACTTCGCTTGTCAGAAAGATGCAGAAGGTGATTACATGATCCCAGGGCTTGTAAATATGAACCAGCTGCCGAGCATCTAAATTTTGATCATGTAACCATAGGGATGCAATGGTCGTAAGTGTGAAAAACGGTCAAAAGCAACTTTTTTTCGTTTTTCACACTTACAATGTGATGTTGTAACTTTGAATGGTCACTAAATGAACTGTTGTAAGTCAAGGACTATCAGTATACCATTTTAATTGCTTTTGAGGTTCTGTCATGGAGGTCCTGAGCAACAAAAACTTGTGAAAGACAGAGGGGAAAAAACTGTAAACAGTTGTCTTTAAAATTAATGAGCAGCTATCCAAACATTGGGCTCAGTTTCAATACCACCAATATGGAATAGTCATTTAGATACAGGACTACGTAACTTCCCAGACATTCGTGCATCTGCTTTCCAGCCTTTTCCCCCAGATTCAATCTGAATGTGTAATATTCCTTACTAGCTGATTACCCAGTGTTGTCTGGGTATTTATTTATCCCAATCTTGTATTAATCAGGAAAAGGAATGAATTATGCTAGAACACACACACACACACACACACACACACACACACACACACACACACACCGAGGGGTGTCTTATCCCCACAGTATTTTTTTCCAAAGAGTAAGTCATCTGTGTACCAAGTTTGGTTGAAATTGCTTGAGCTGTTCCAGAGTTATGCTGCAACACACCCAAACACACATACACAGACACACACGCACCTTGAAGGATGTTAGGCATGTGTTACCCCCACAGAATTTGTTTCCAGAGAGTAAGTCATCTGTGTAGCAAGTTTGGTTAAAATTGCTCAAGGCGTTCCAGACTTAGGGTGGAACACACAGACACACACGCACACACACACATACCAGGGTGTCTTACCCCCACAGTATTTGTTTCCAGAGAGTAAGTCATCTGTGTACCAAATTTTATATATATATAATTATACACACACACACACACACACACACACACATATACCAGTGGTAGGGTTTCAAATTTTTTTACTACTGGTTCTGTGGGTGTGGCTTGGTAGGCATGGCTTGGTGGACATGGCAGGGGAAGGATACTGTAAAATCTCCATTCCCACCCCACTCCAGGGGAAGGATACTGTAAAATCTCCATTCCCTCCCAATTAGCTGGGACTTGGGAGGCAGAGAATAGATGGGGGTGGGGCCAGTCTGACTTTTTCTACCGGTTCTCCGAACTATTCAAAATTTCTGCTAACAGTTCTCCAGAACTGGTCAGAACTTGCTGAAACCCACCTCTGATACATACATACATAGGTCCTTTTATATATATATAGATATTTATTATTTATTTATTTATTTGTTTAAATTTCTATACCACCCTTCTCCAATATAGGACTCAGGGCGGTGAACAGCCAAAGTAAAAACAAGACATACATACAAAACATACAAAATCTAAAAACTGATTAAAATAATTAAATATCTTGGCCGTAATTAAAACTGTTCCAATTTAAAATCAGTTTAAAATTTGACTCAAGCCAGCCCAGCTAGTTGAAATAAATGGGTTTTCAGGGCCCGACGAAAAATCCGGAGGTCTGTTATTGTACGTAACTCTGGGGGGAGGTTGTTCCAGAGGGTGGGCGCCACCACAGAGAAGGCTCTCCCCCTGGGGGTCGCCAGCCGACATTGTCTGGCGGACGGCACCCTGAGGAGGCCCACTCTGTGTGAGCGTACTGGCCGGTGGGAGGCTATTGGTGGCAGAAGGCGGTCTCGTAAGTACCCCGGCCCTAAGCCATGGAGCGCTTTAAAGGTGGTCACCAACACCTTGAAGCGCACCCGGAAGACCACCGGGAGCCAGTGCAGCTCCATTTATTAGAAGCCACACATTTTTGACCAAAATGATTAATTCCAACACTCAGACCATCATTTTTAATATGTAATACTTGAAAGCATATAAAACACACTTTTTTCCTTTTTTTTATTTTGAATGGTTATTCATCTTATTAATATTAAAAATATTTGATCACTGATGATTGTTCTACATTTAATTTATGAAGAAGCACCAGCTGCTTGGACCTGTTTTTGACACTGTATCTGTTCTTGTTCTTTATTCCCATTGGGCCATTTATTTTGATCCAATCTTTGGTCTGCCTGTTCTTGGTCTTTATTTCCCTGTCTGTTACCAATAGAGATTCAACATTCTGTTAGCATCATCAAAAAAGTATACAAAAGCTTTGCCTCCATCCACAAAGACCTTCAGACAAACTTGAGTTGTCTGTTTCTATCTAAACTTTTTGTCCTGAAGAACAACTGTTAAAAATCTCATAAATCTAATCTACAAAGCACATATGATAAAATCTCAAAATTGTATCATCAAGTTTTAAGGCAGTTTCTCATATTTTCAATTACAGCCTTTATAGCTTTGAGATATGTGAATTTAACAAATATATTCCTTGGCAATTTTCTCCTTTATGCTACCCAATAATTTATTCCATGGATATTTTCAATTTCCAGAGTTTTATCTATGTTGAGGTTAGGCTATGTCTTGAGTAAATTTTTCAATTTTCCTTCTACCTAAAAGGTAGATCTTTTCCAACATCCTCAGGTTTACCTCTACAGTTTAAATTATGTTTATGGATTTCAATTCATTCTAATTTGGCTTCCAGTTAATTTATGGCTGCTGAGGTATCTCAACTATAGACAGTACCAAAGATCCTATCTGCAATTCTTTATTTTGATGTACTATCATTCTAAGTCATCATTTGAGCCATAGTAGGACAGTGGTTAGAATGCAGTATTGCAGGCTGACACTGCTCACTGCCAGGAGTTTGATGCTTGAGGGGTTCAAGGTTGACTCAGCCTTCCATCCTTCCAAAGTTGATAAAATGAGGACCCAGATCGTTGGGAGCAATAGGCTGATTCTGTAAACTACTTAGAGAGGGCTATAAAGCTTTATGAAGCGGTATATAAGTCTAAGTGCTATTGCTATTTTGCTGTACTTAGTATGAGTCTTGATAGAATGAAATGTTTCTAAATGTTGATATATTTGCTTAATTAATTTAGAGATTGTGTGCAGTTTTCTTGTAACAAATTATTTAGGTTAAACAAACAGAGGAATCAAACTGGACTAACTCCAGTTTGGGAAGATCTATTATGTTTCCTTTTACTTACGTTAGAAAAATAATAATAATGCTGAGAATTTCTATCCATTTAAAAATAGATGAAAATGTTAAGAATAAGAAATTAAAGAAACTCTTCTGAACTTCCAAATAATGATGTATGAATGACCAAATAGTACAAATAGTACCAAATAGTACCAAATAACAGAGTGGTGAAATCCAATTTTTTTTACTACCAGTTCTGTGGGCGTGGCTTGGTGGGGGTGGGAGGGGAATGATACTGCAAAATCCCCATTCCCTCCCCACTACTGGGGGAAGGATATTGCAAAAACTCCATTGCCACTCTACTCTGGGGCCAGCCTGAGGTGGTATTTGCCAGTTCTCCAAACTACTCAAAATTTCCACTGCCGGTTCTCCAGAACCTGTCAGAACCTGCTGGATTTCACCCCTGCTTTAACATACAAATTAAATTTCATTTTAATTCTGAGCATTTCATTTAATTTTGTTCTTTGTCCTGGAGCTCCTTTTCTTGGCTAGAAGAAAAAAAAATCAAGAGTAAAAAAAATAAGATCAATTAACAGTGCATGTCTGATCACAGAAAATCATTTCAATTTAATTAATTTCAATTAATCCATTTCCAAATTAAGAATTCTTAGCTGTACAGCTGCATCGAAGAGTTTCAATCACAAAACAGCATTCCCTTTGACATTCTCAAGGGAAAAAAAACGAGTAACAGCTAGATAAAAAAAACCCCAATAGTTGCTACATTGCAGTTATAGTAGCCATCCTTGCAGACAAAAAAAAAATCACACTTCTATGCTTCATTAATTATCTTAAAAGAAAACTTCTAAATTTATCTTATTAAATTCGTTGTAGCTCTCCTCTGTATGAGACTCTGGGTGGCTTGCAAACTCCAGATAATCTAAACCATGAAAGAAACATTACGGAGGGGGAAAAACTCATCGGTTATTTTTCCCAGAAAATCCACAAAGATCAATTATTTGGAAGAGGGGGCATAAAACGTCTTTCAGGTAAAGCCGCTCGGAGGAAGAGTCACCGGCAGCGACCTCGCCTCCTCCCTGAACAAAAAGGGGATTCTCCCCCACGGGGGAATCCCTTTCAAGCAAAGCGGCAGGACGATTCTGCGCATGCGTCCCTTTGCGGGTGGGGCGGCACGCGGGAGTCCGCCTCTGCCAGGGCTTCTCTCCGAGGCTTCGTCGCAGGTGAGCGATTGGCGCTTCCTCCGCAGGGACAGCCGCCAGCGAAGCCCCCTCCCGAGGGTGGCCCGTCCAGACGCCTGAAATGCCAGTGGCGAGCCTGGCGCGTAAACGAGGCGCGGTATTTCTGAGTGTAAAGAGGGTTGCAGCAGGGTCTGGGTTTTTTTCCCTCTCTAATTAGGCTAGGTAGGAGGCTCTCCATAGCAGCCCCGGAAGCGGGGGGACGGTGGATAGTTGCTGGATGTTTTGCCTGAATTAAAATGGGAAGGACAGCGAGGAGAAGGCGGGGAGGGTTGTTTGCCTGGTGCGAGAGCGATGTTTCCCCGCCGGACCCCTTTCTTGCGGGGGGGGGGGGGGGGGGGAAGCAACCGAGTTGTCAAAGAAAGACAGCGCGGCCAGTCTTTCTTCAGTGACTTTTATTAGGAGCGAAATCTTTTCTTAAAGGAAAAGTAGCTCCTTGTTTTTAATTGCAATCGGCTCCTCCCTGTTGTAAATGACAGCCCGGAGCGATTTCTAAGGATGTTGCTGAACAACACGTCCCAGCAGCTGCAAGCCGTTAGGGAAGGATTGTGGGATATGTAGTTCAACAAGTTCTGGGAAATTTCTTGGTTCTTTGGGTCGCTCTTCAATTTTAAAAAATGCGGAATACAATATTGTACGCTTTCTGAGAAAGAAAAAAATTGTCCATTCTTCACTTATGGAAAGGTAAAACATAGTAATTTTCTCCGAAATACAGACTCCTATCTTACTATAATAATCTTACTATAAGAGCCTACACCAGTACAGATAATTCTTGATTTACAACAGTTAGTTTAGTGGCTGTCCAAAGTTACAACAGCATTGAAAAAAGTGACTTATGACCATTTTTCACCCTTATGATCGTTGCAGCGTCCCCATGATCATGTGATCAAAATTCAGATGCTTGGCAACTGGTTCATATTTATGACGGTTGCAATGCCCCAGAGTCGTGTGATCAACTTTTGCGACCTTCTGACAAGCAAAGTCAACGGGGAGGTCAGATTCACTTAACAACTGGGTTACTAACTCAACAGCTGCAATGATTCACTTAACAGTGGCAAAAAAGTTGTAAAATGGAGCAAAACTCACATGTCTCACTTAGCAACATAAATTTTGGACTCAATTGTGGTCATAAATTGAGGACTACCTGTATATAGGTATAATATTGCCTTGTTTACTGACAGCATAATCATCCTTATTTTCAGGTCATAGATCTTGCATATGGCATGCCATGATCATATGATGGGCTGGCAGTAATTGTAAAAGTTGTTTCTGTTTTTGGTGTATAGTATGGTTTTGCTTTGGTTTGTTTTGGAGAAATTAAACACTACTTTGCTCCAACAATGCTGTGTTTCCATTTTCATTATCAGTTTTCAAATAATTGATTTCTTGTGAAGTTGAAGCTGCAATCCTGTATGGTTTTATTTGGGAGAGGAGCTGTCACTGAATCTCTTGGGAGTTAAAATCTGCATTATGTAGAGAACTGAACTGTAAATGCCATTTTTAAAAAAAAAAAAAAAAGTCACTGCTGCTTCTTACCAACAGTATGGCGGTTCCCAGTTCAGAAGAACAGAAGAAACAAAGCTGTTTCATCTTGGGTGCTTCTGGAGAAACTGGGAAAGAATTGCTACTTGAAATCTTAAAGCAGCAAAAATTCTCTCGAGTGACTCTCATTGGCCGCCGAAAGCTAAATTTTGAAGGGACTCTTTACAGTAATGTGGTATGAAACAAAACTTTTTTTTATTTTATGTTTTTGTCCCCTTTCTCATTCCCTTTAGAACTGGATAGAGATTTAAACCTGGGTCTCTTAGGACCTAATTTGCATTCTAAATGCTAACCACATGGATTTTTGATATATATTATTATAGTCATCCTCAACCTAGTGTTCAGAAAAAAATACTGAAAATTTATGCTACCTGAAAATCCAGTCTTACTTCTCAACATTCCTTGACAGTAATGTGGATGAAATTTATTTATAATCATAAATTATATGTTAAATATCCTATACACTTTACAAGTTTCTCAAAAACATAAGTAATTGAAAATATTATTGAATACTCTATCCAAAATATAAAACAGTCAAGCAATTTTAAATGCCTACCGAATAATTATTTGTTTACCAACACTTGCTTGATAACTGTCTTCAAATGGTTAAAAAAAATATAAATCTATATTATGTGGGACATAATATACCGTGTTTCCCCGAAAATAAGACCCTGTCTTATATTTTTTAAACCCTGAAATAAGCGCTTGGCCTTATTGCCATGCGTTCAAAAGCCCAATTGGGCTTATTATCAGGGGATGTCTTATTATGGGGAAAACAGGGTAGTACATAAATAATGTAAAGAATATAGTGCCATAAAGAAAACTGCCATATTAAAAAAAGAACTGGAGGAACTAAATTGTCTTCAGTCTTTTATGTGCTAGACTATAATATCCATCATACTAAGTTGCCTGTATTTCAAGAGACTGGAGCCTCTTTTTTATATGGTGTAGCTCTTAAATTATCTTGCTGGCACTTTTATTTCATATTCTTCTATGCTCCTCCTTTCAATTAAATCTAAGTGGTTTACATAACTGTTTAGATATAGATATATAGAATAATAGAACATAACTGTTTAGATATAGATATGTAGAATAATAGAGTTGGAAGGGACCTTGGAGATCTTCTAATCCAACTCCTTGCTCAAGCAGGAAACCTTATACCATTTCAGAGAAATGGATGTCTAATCTCTTCTTAAAAGCCTCCAGTGTTGGAGCACCCACAACTTCTGGAAGCAAGTCGTTCCACTGATCAATTGTTCTAACTGTCAGGAAATTACTTCTTAGTTCTAGGTTGAATCTCTTCTTTATTAGTTTCCATCCATTGCTTCTTGTCCTGCCCTCAGGTGCTTTGGAAACACATAGCTATACAAGACAATATAACAAAATATAGTGAAGTTAAATAAAAAAGAACAAGAACGTAATATATAATCAATATCGTAACACAATCTAACACAGTAATTTATTGCAATATCCATTACTTACCTCAGATACATGAATCTATTCAATTCTTCAGTTCCTAAAAGCTGTCCAGAATAACCATAATTTAACTAGCTTCTTAAACATCAACAATGAAGGTGCTTTTCTTATTTCAGAGTATAGTTTATTCCACAAGAAAGGAGCCTAGCAGAAAACATTTGCTTCTATGCTCCCTCTTATCACACTACATCTGAATGGAAACTTCAGCTTTCCTTCTCTGCCTTGTCCAAGTTGTGCATTTTAATATGTGCATTTTATTGATTGTTTGATAATTTCTCAACATGATTTGAAATTTCATTGTTAGCCAGGAGATGTTCTGCCTTCATTTGTTTTGGAAAGCAAGGAGACACATATATTTCATTTTCTCCATTGGAGTCTCCCGTTCTTCCTTTCATGTCTGATTTTTTGGGGTGTCTGTTTCCAGGCCCAAGAAGTTGTTGACTTTGAGAAACTAGATGAATCTGCTGCTGCCTTCCAAGGACATGACGTCGGATTTTGCTGCTTGGGGACAAGCAGAGCCAAAGCTGGAGCGGTGAGGAGGAAAAGGGGGAAATACCTGGGTCAGGGAGGAATTGAGAAAGGTGGAAGACTGAGAGGAAGTTAAGAGGTATAAAATACATTCTAGAGTGGAATTTGCTGGTAAGTTGTGTTTCATAGATTGTGTCAGTCTTTCTCAACTTGGCATTCTCCAACTATATTGAACTATAATTCGAGTGTCTGTGGGGACTGATTGTAATTGTACTTCAGTATACCTGGAGGAACCAAACTGGGAAAAGTAAGTTCCTTGGGATCTGAGAGACAGGAGATTGAAGTGGGTGCTTGGCATTTTGAGGGATTGAGTTGGCCTGATGTGGAACAAGTGTGAAGAGTTTAGAAGTTTCACTCTTCTGTGTTTCTTCCAAGGAGCTAGAAGTTCATATCAATTTAGCTTATCTTTTGCCCATGGTAACCCAATTTGCATGCTGTCTTTTCCAGATTTCATAGTTAACACAGTATTTTATCCAAGTCACCTAAGTTGTGCATTGTACTGGCTGTTTACATTTAACTTTTTTGGAGGTTATCTTGCACTTCTGGTGAACCAAAGGATGCACTTAATTTGAGCGCATGAGAAGGGTGGGGGTGGATCCAATACATCAAAAAATAAATTTGATCTCAGTTAATTTGCATTTACATTTAATTAAGCATAATTATACATTATATTATTCTCCAATCAGCATGTATTTAATTTTTTTCCTTCTTCCACATTAAAATTAATATCAATTTTTGAGGTGCCTGATTGTCATAAACATGATTTTGGAGATGAAACAGCCCTGAAGTCTCAGGTTGGATAATTCTCTATATGTCATTTCTTGATATGTCATATAGGCTCTAACTCATTGCAGGTCGTTAGAAAGGGAGATGTTTTCAAATAAGTAAATGCTACTTTCTCTACATATAAATACAGGATGGATTTGTGCGTGTTGACCGTGATTATGTTGAACATGCAGCAAAGCTAGCCAAAGCTGGTGGGTGCCGCCACTTTATCCTAGAGTCAAGCAAAGGTGCAGATAGCTCCAGCGGATTCCTCTATCTAAAGACCAAGGTATGTCTGATGGGCTGCAAAATGAGATAAGCAATGGGTTAGAGAACCACCAGATTTCAGAGTTCTCCTTAGTTGGGCCCAGGTTCTGTTTAAACTTGACATACAAAATGCCAGACCTTCCATTCTTCCATTCTAGTGCCATTTGGGATTAGACAGAGAAAGAGCTTCTTATTTAATGTATCCCCCAAGGAGGTAATGATTATATACTTGGTTCTTTACTCTTAATTTAAGCCTGAGGAAAACTCCCTGTGAGATAGTTAGGCAGAGCTGGAAGTTGAATGTGGGTTTTCCCAAGCATAGTCTACCACTCTAATTCCATAAGAGGCAACTTGATGCCTGCTAGATACATTCAGTGGCAAGTCTCAACAGCTCCAATAAATATTGCTTCAGCAAAGGAAGCAAGTCCCTTTTAGAGCAATGACTCCAGGAGATACTGTTATTTATTACAGCTGTTATTACGTGTTGTTCAAGTAATGTGTGCAAAAGAAAATGCTGCACTATGACCTGCAGCATAATGTAGTACATTTTCATGTGAAAGATGTTTCCTGGCTGAGGATCTATGGTTTGTCAAATTCTAGCCATTAGAGAGCCTGCAGGTTAGTTTCTGTCTGCAGTTTATAATTCTAAGAGTGGAACCTAATAGTGCTTAAGAAGGTATATCTCCCGTCATATGAGAATCTTCAGCAATCCTTCCTTCTGCCTTATCTTGATGTGTATACTTTTCAGCTTCTGTGGATTTCTATGTACAAGACAGAGATCTCATCCAATGGAAGTTGTTTTTTCCTTCCTTTTTTTAGGGTGAAGTAGAAAACAGGATTAAGGCACTTGAATTTGACCGATTCTCCATATTTAGACCAGCGTAAGTATATTGCATATGTGAAGCATGAATCTGTTGGAAGGACAAACTGTTAGTTCATGGGCAAGTAGAAGGATGCTCATTCCATCACATAGGAAGTTGTATTAGTTGTGAGTATTGCTGATTAGTTAAGATTTGAAGTTTCTCATTGTAACAAAATTAATTAATTAATTCAACTGCTTGTTTAGTTGTTGCTTTAAAAATTAATAACCTTAACTTTTGTGGGCTGTTAAAGTCAAGAATACACCAAATAAGTAGCGTAGATATAGACATTGCAATGTATCTGATTTCAAAATTATACTTTCATCTCCAAGTATGGAAGTACAAGTATGCTTCCATTCACACATGATTAGGAAAATCGGCCAAAACTAATACGAGTGATAGTTTTGAGTAAATTTGAGAACCTAATCCACAGGAGTCATTTATGTAGAGCCAGATTCAAGAGCTTATTTTGTATGTAATTGGGGATGCAGTCCAAGCCACAATGCTGTGAAGCAGATTAACATGCAAATGAATAAGTGAATGAGTGGCTACCCTATTTTGTTTTTTTATTGATGCACAGAAATTTAAGCCCTGGCCCTTCCAAGGCAAACTCAAAATTCACATTCACATCACACTGCAGGTGTGAACCATTTTCCTTCACCTGTGGCTGTTCAACATATTATTCGAACCACACAGACTAATAGACGGAATTAACAACAACCTCTCCCAAGGCCATTGCTTTCTAAGCTGAACTAAATATGCAGCTATCCTGGTGTAACTGTCTTTTTCCAGCTTGAATAGATATGTGTGCCCTACTGAAACAATCTAGTTAAATATAGAGTCTCTATAGTTGGTTAGCTTTGGCCCCCCCCCCCCCCAGCAACAGATGTTGTCTTGTCAAGAGATTTTATTTCTTCACCATCTCTCTGATCTTGAACGGACCTTATTTCCCAATCTTGAAGAAAAAGAAGTGAAATCAACCAATAAACTGCTGAGTGCACACAGGATTTTTTCTTCTTTCCAGCAGTGTACAGATTTAAGTGTGTTTTAAGATAAAGCAGTGCATAACTTTTTAACAAAATTCTTAGAGCTTTATTGAAATGTGCTTTTTCCCTCTATTATACAACCAAGGAGATGCATTGGAATATTTCCATTCATACAAAAGAGCCAATACATTGTTCTGGGACAAAAATCAATTCAGCTAGAAGCACCATCTTAAGCATTAGAACGGTACCATATAATGTTACATTTGTAATCAAACTTTTCAGTATATTCTCTTGACAGGCGTGCAAATTTTACCGAGTGTTGTATCAATAACCAAACAATAATTCATCATAATGATGGCTTTCATGTATTAAAACCCACTATTCCCATCTCATCCTCCTGTGGCTTGTTTTGCATTTATCTTACTTCGCACTTCTTTGTTGCAAATAAGAAAATATTACCTTCTTGTTGGTGCTATGTTGAGAGCAATAAAATCCAGGTATCATATAGTATAACTGAGAAAAAATAAGTTCTTTTTCTGCCTCTCTTCCCTAGGGTGTTGCTATGTGATCGCCAGGAATCTCGGCCTGGTGAATGGATGGCCAGGAAAGCCTTAGGAGTGGTAGCCCATTTCTTTCCCACGTATATGTCTATTCCTACCACAACAGTGGCCCGAGCAATGGCCAATCTTGCAGTGATGCCAGCAAAAGACGGGCAGAAAGTGGAGGTGCTGGAAAATGCAGCCATCCATGCCCTTGGTCAGTCAAAGTAATCAGTGGAGAAGAAGGGATGTTTTTTGGATAGCTTTATAATGAAGGGGTTTCACTGATTCCCCCAAGCCCAGATTTAATCATCTATTTTTATACTTCAGAGGGTCTTTGAATAATCAATGCCTATGAATTGCATTTAATATGATTGTTGCATCAGAAGCATGTGATCCAGAAATAACTAAAAAAAGAAGCCTTAATGTCATTGGTGCTGTTTCAGAAGCTTTAAACGTGTATCCTGCCTCTTAATAAAATTAATTACCAATGGAATTGTGTGGGGACTGTTGATTAACCACTAACATGCTAAAAGTGCAACTTAAAAAATGCATATCAAGCAGAATGCAAAAACATTTACACAGTAGCTACTGTATATAGAGGCTCCTTGTAACAAAATTCACTAGTTTTATAGGAAAGTTAGGAAGAACTTCTGTTAATCTCATTTCAGGCCAGTGGTGGGTTGCTCCCGGTTCGACCCAGTTCGGGTGAGCCAGTAGTGGTGATGATGTGACATCACCGAACCGGTTCTCTATGACTGAGCTGGGCCCGCCCGCCCCCGCATTATACCTACCTTTATTTGTTGTTTTTTAGCCCAGCTGATAGGCGTGGCAGAGTGGATTGCTGCACCTCATCTGGTCAGAAATTTAATGCGTTTGCGCAGCGATCGCACACAAAGTGCGTGCACTTTGAACTAGTGGTAACACCAGTGGGAACCCACCACTGTTTCAGGTCTTATATGCTGCTGCAGAGACTGGCTTATTTGTTGCCTAAGTGCCTGTCTAATACACCAACCCCTCATTTAGTGACTTGAGTTCTGGTCCAACAACCAGGCCATTAAGCAAAATGGTCATTAAGTAAACACATGATTTACTTGAGATAAGAAAGAGATGCTACAAAGTCCATTGCTTGTTGCCATATAAAATTCTCACACTGTTATACCATGTTATTCTCATCCTGAAAGGCTTTGTTGTCAGGTGCACAAAAATTGTAAATGAGTTGCCTTGGGGCGAAATGGTGACAAATAAATTTAATAAATGTAAAAAAAAAGTGGAAAAATGATTTTTATTACCATTGTATTTGTGAATGATCACTAACCAAGGCAGACGCTAAACATAGAATGGAGGTAGTAAAAAGATCAAATAATCATGTTTTGTAGATCAAGGAAAAGATCGATTTTAAAAGGTTTTAAGTTCCAAAGGTGCTTTTTCAAGAGGCAACTGGACTTTCTGGATTTTCTTTGAAGACGTTTCGCTTCTCATCCAAGAAGCTTCTCCAGTTCTAAGAAGCTGCCTCTTGAAAAAGCACCTTTGGGAAACCATGACCTGGATGGCTGAGAATCTCCATAGACAAAAGGTTTAAAGCTTCACTTCTATATAATACCTGCAATAAGTAAGACAAAGCTTCAGTTTCAGTGAAACTTCATGTTTCAGTTATACCTGATCTGCCCAGACAAGTTCACTCCTCCCTGGAAATCCTTTTAAGCTGGTGCCTCCAGAAAAATAGATGTCAAACTATATTAGGTAGGCTGCATTTTGCAATTTTTATCACAGAGCAGGTCGTTTTTCCTTTCTTGCCCAAACATTAACCACATCATCACCACTCCTGCCAATGTGGTCTTCTTTGACTATGTAAATTATTTTGAAACTTCTGAATGCAGGCTGTCTGATTTGCATGTTCTCTTGTTAGTTCCCTGCCGTATTCCTATCCCAATCTGCATGGAACAAGTATAAAAATGACCAATACGTCATGGATCAGGTAGAGATTTGGATTTATTAACATTATTAAAGAAACAGTTCATCAATGCTGGTGATTTAATTTTATTCTATAGACTGACTAGAAAGATAAGCCTTCATTACTTGGAAAAAGCAGGACCCTGTAGCCTCATTTCCCTCCATTCATTTGAAAGAGTCCTGCCTGCCAACCATGACAGCATTTCAAGATCAAAGAAGGAATTTCAGCCCAGCACAGAGATGAAAGAGACATTAAGAAGGATCTGGCTGTAGAGGACATAGGGAATAGTCTTGAAGGACAGGAAGAAGAGCTGCTAACAAGGCAATGGTCAGATAAGAGGGGCTTGAGCCTGGATCAAGAAAATAACTTGAGAAAACATCTCGGACAAGCCCCTCCCTGGTTCATACAAAAAATAAAGTGAGGGAGGAAAAAGCATACTGTATTCAGATGTGCAAGATTTTGTTACTATAGCTGTTAAACTGCAATTGGTTTTTTATTTTGGACTATGTTGTCGGACACACTGGCTAAAATGAATGAGATATTATTGGAGCTGAAAGTGTTTCCACTGAGCTGAATTTGAATAGAGTTCAAAGGCTGCCAGCTCAAAGACAACCTAAGATTGGCTTTGATGCCTTCCTGGAAAGGAATGTGTGACAGTAAGTCATAGTAGAAGGAACCCTCAGGGCTAAATTCCTATAAAGGTAAAGGTTCCCCTCACACATATGTGCTAGTCGTTCCCGACTCTAGGGGGCGGTGTTCATCTCTGTTTCAAAGCCAAAGAGCCAGCGCTGTCTGAAGACGTCTCCGTGGTCATGTGGCTGGCATGACTAAATGGCAAAGGCGCATGGAACACTGTTACCTTCCCACCAAAGGTGGTCCCTATTTTTTCTACTTGCATTTTTTTACATGCTTTCGAACTGCTAGGTTGGCAGAAGCTGGGACAAGTAACAGGAGCTCACCCCATTACGTGGTACTAGGGATTCGAACCGCTGAACTGCCGACCTTTCGATTGATAAGTTCAGCGTCTTTAGCCACTGAGCCACCGCGTCCCTTAAATTCCTATAGAGCCCTGTAAAACCCAAACCTCAGCAAACTTTCAGAAATAAGATATCTAATCCTTAGCCACTTACATATGGACTATAGGGACCCTGAATAAACAAAGATAAAGGGGAGAGGCAATCCATTAACTAGTTCACGAGACTTCTCTCACCACCAGCCTATGCTTGAGACTGTCATAAGACAAACTTATGGCTGATGTTCGACCATTTCCATCTTCCAAGCTACCTCATGGCCAGGATCTTCCTGCTGAACAGATGTTTCATGGCCTCTTTCACATCTTTGTTCCTCAGGCTGTAGATGACTGGATTCAGAAGAGGGATCACCAGGGTATAAAACAAAGAAACCACCTTATCTTGATCTTGTGATCCATCCTTGTTTCTTGGTTGGGCATACATGAAAATAGCAGTGCCATAGAAGAGGCTCAGAGCAGTCAGGTGGGAAGAGCAAGTGGAGAGGGCCTTTTGTCGTCCTTGAGTAGAGTGGCTCCAGAGGACATTCCACAAGACCCGGAGATAAGAAACAGAGATGGTGGTGATGGTTACTATGGCAATGACAGTTGTGGAAATAAAAAGGATTACTTCAGAAAGCTGAGTGTCAGAGCAAGAGAGCTTCAAGACGGCAGGGATATCACAAAAGAAGTGGTTGATACGGTTTGGCCCACAATAGGATAACCGGAAAGCTCCACTAGTCTGGACGATGGAACCCACTAAACCACAACTGTAAGCCCCCAGCACAAGGCATATGCAATTCTTGTGGGTCATGAGTAAAGTATAGGTCAAAGGGTGGCAAATGGCCAGGAAACGATCATAGGCCATGGCTGCCAGGAGAAAACATTCTGTTGTCACCAGAGTAGTAAAACAAAACATCTGAGCGGCACAAGATGGAAGGGAAATGTAAGCCTTGCCCTGTTGTAGCTGAGCCTCCAGCGCCTTGGGTGCAATGACTGTGGAATAGCAAAGATCCAAGAGAGAGAGGTTGCTGAGGAAGAAGTACATTGGAGTGTGCAGACGCTGCTCAGTTCTGATCAAGGTAACCATCCACCCATTGCCTAGTACTGTGAGCACATACAGGAGAAGGAAAATGCTGGAGTACAGAGGATTCAATTCAGGTCTCTCTGTAAAGCCCAGGAGGATGAAAGTGGTCACAGCGCTTCTGTTTTCACCCTCTGAGGAACTGTGGCTGCGCCTATGAGATCTTCAGACGAAACCATAGGCATAAGGTTAAAAGTAACTGCAAAATTTAAAATACGAACAAAGACACTTCCATAAAAGAAGGTGGAAGGAAAGTAGAAGCATTGGTAGATTGGATTATGTAAGTATTAAATTGCCCATAGACACACACACACACACACACACACATATACACCAGTGATGGGTTTCAATTTTTTTATACTACTGGTTCTGTGGGTGTAGCTTGGTGAGCGTGGCATGGCTTGGTGGGCGTGGCAGGGGAAGGATACTGTAAAATCTCCATTCCCTCCCCAATCCAGGGGAAGGTTACTGCAAAATCCCCATTTCCTCCCAATCAGCTGGGACTCGAGAGGCAGAGAATAGATGGGGGCGGGGCCAGTCAGAGGTGGTATTTACTGGTTCTCCGAACTACTCAAAATTTCCGCTACGGTTCTCCAGAACTGGCAGAACCTGCTGAAACCCACCTCTGATATCCACAGAGATGCATACACACAAGCCAGAAAACTTGAAGTAAGCAAACAAGACAACATCAGTGCAATCCCTTATCTGTCTACAACACGGCTTCTATAATTTATGAACTATTCTTCTGCAGAAAGGATTGTTCATAATTTCCAATAAGACGCATAAAGAATCCTAGTAGTTGTTACTACGTACAAATTTAGTTTAGTATTCTCTGTAGGAATATTAGTTTTAATAATATTTAACTAAAAAATTAGCAAGCTGAGAGAAGAAACCCACTTTTAAAATTTGTTTCATTCTCTGACCAATCGTTTTTTTCAAAATCACTGGGTTTTACAACATTACTAACCGATATGAAAAAGTGATCCAATATGACTGTTACATTTCCAAATTGTGTAATGAATTGCCTATTTTCACAATCAACATTGGAATAATAGATAGAACATCTTATAGCAATTTTCTTGATGTGCAGTATTGTAATGGACAGAAGGAATGGCCTTGAGGGACAGGAAGAAAATTGTTGCCAACAACAGGCAGATAAAAGAAACTTGAGTCCAGAGCAGAATTATAACCTAACAAAGCATCTCAGACTAGATCCTCCCTGCTTCTCATGAAGACAAAGGGAGAGAGGGGGGAAGCACATTTCAAACTTGTAAGATTCTGTTATTACAACTTTATAATAAAAATAATATTACCCTGCATGATTTTGGTTTCTAAATCTGGTCTACTATGAATGGCTCATAAATGTTGGCTGCAAATTTGACAGTTTTCTTCCATTGATACTCCAGTTGTTGCCTATCAATTATTCTATTTAAACTGTGCATCCACTTAAAA